AGGCTGCACATCGCTCAGGGCGTGCCGCCCAGAAACACTGGGGGGTTTAGGTCTTAAGAAGGGTAAGGCTGTGAACTGTATCCCATGGTCTTCAAGATGGCTATTTCAAACTAGACGTATGAAAATCCTTTTAGTAACACACACATTTTCTTCATCACAATTACAGTAATCTCATCCTCACCGTTGTTTTTACGGCACATTTTAACGCATCTAAAGACAGCAGTTTGTTTTTTAGCCTAAATTCCGCAAAAGTATTGGTAAATGTCATTCTTGATGCCATAGCCAAAGTTGAGTTGACAACTGTAGTTCGGCGCCAAATTGGGGCCCAAATTTTTCGTGCACCACTCGCATGTCACAGAAAATCTTAACTTCAATGAAGCAGTACTATTTTGCAGGGGATAGAGGTGGGCACTTAAATCTAATTCAAGGACAAAAGAAACTTCGAGTAAGATGCATGCTTTGGTAGGTGCATCGCGCTCATTCTCAGCGCACGGTTACATATATCTTCCCGGGCCAATTCTCACATTGTCCACTTGAGGCCCGCGGCTACCGGCGGACGGCCTTCCCGCAGAGTGATTGCCGGAGCACAGGTGCCTGCAAAAATGCTTCTAATCGCGCGTGAAGAACGCGACGATGCGGATTTGACAGCGCTGCTGTGTATCTGTAATTATCTTGTACACGGCACCTCTCCGATTACTGGATTTTGTATTCCGTTGACAACCCGACAGCGTCTCACTCAATGCTTGCTGGCTGCCGCAGCGGCGATTTCCAAACTTACGGTATTCGATCATAACAGTGAGCATGTGTATGGATCCATTAGTCAATCTTCTGAACATATACATCCTTTACAGTTATTTACATAAAACTTAAAGTAGATTTACATAAAACGCACTTCCATGCGTATGAACTGAGATTAATGACGCATCTTTAGCACATGCACATTGGCTTCTCTTTTAACCGTTAAACCAGGGGTGTCATTTTTTGTTATTATTGGGGGGGGGGGCTGAACCCAAGGCCCGACAGCCTACCCAACCCCCATTTTTGTCACCGGATTTAGCCCACTTAATTTTGATGAAAGGCAAGATTTGTTTATAATTTTGTGTAGGCTACAAAAGTATTAATTCAAGCATTAAGTTATAGTGGTTACACAAGGGGGGATCCACGGGACACTGGACGCACGCGCCTCTCTCGACCGGCAGTGAAGGCGGTCAAAAGGCGCCTTCCCCATGAAGTGAATGCGCCCCTTTAGAGGCGCATCCACTGCCGGTGCGGCGCCTTAAGCGCCGAAGGCGCTAATCTATGGGAAATTGGTAATTATAGATAATACCGTCAACGGTCATGGGAGACGGTACGCATCCGGTTGTAGGGAACGAGGATATAAGGCCAGCGTGGGGGATTAGGTCAACCCGTATTCCAAAGCTTTTGACCTTAACCACACAAACCATTGTGTCTTATGGCCCTAGGTGTGTGAAGATTATTGTACCGTTTATCCGCTCAGCTGTTACGTTTTGCATTTGGTGGTGATGGCAACCACGACTTTATGTTACTAGAGGAGGGATAGTTCTAGTGTTGGTAGGAGCCTCGCTATATACAAGAAATATACGTCTGTATGGGGAAGCAAACATCCGGCTACATTCCGGATACCGGGTTTAGGCTTGGGCTACCGGGTTTGGGAGCCAAGCCCTCGTGCCGAATCATAAACCCTACCCCAATTTTATTTTTGTCCTTGAATTAGGTTAAAGTGCGCACCCCCATCTTTTGCAAAATAGTGCTGCTTCACAAAAGTTAATCTTTTGGTGACCATAAGTGGAACACGAAGCATTTCGGCCTCACTTTGGTGTTGTACCAAATTTGTTAACCTATCGTTTTGTCATGGCATCAATAGTGACATTTACGAATACCTGTGTGAAATTTAGGCTTAAAGCAAACGTTTTCATTAGATGGCTAAAAATGGGTCGTAAAAACACCGATCAGGATGAGTTTATTGTAATTGTGTTGTAGGAAATGCGTGTGGTATTAATAGGACTTCCACGAGGCTAGTTCGTATCAACACGCGCTCTGGACGGGGATCAATTTAGTCTCTTACCCTTCCGAGGGTTTTCCAAGATAATTTATGATCGGTGCGGCGTAGCCGTTCTAGTGTTGGTAGTTCCACAGTTATATACATGAACAGCATGTGTCTATGGGAAAATAAGTATCCGGCTACATTAACTACGAGGTTTTGATGCCGCTACACCGCGCCGAGCTTTGCATAGCTGAAGACAATTGACTAACGGGTCTCTAGGCATGGAAATTAGATAACATGGTCAGGTCGCTGACCTATGGCAGGTCAAAGTCAGGCCATGGCTGTCAGCGAAGACATGCCAGTGGAATCGTTCAAGCGGATACGATAACGTAAGGTAAAAGGGAATATGCCACGTTTTTAATTTCACTCATTGTTGCATCAGACGCCTGTGATGGGGCAGTAATGCGCGTTTTCTCCAAATCCTCCTGAATAGCTCACAATTTTGCTTTGAAGCACGCAACCCTGCGGGAGAAATGTCATTTCACTCCATGTTCACCACCATGAACGAAATGAATTTCAGTTGCCTTGCGTTTCCAGACGTTTGAGTAATAACTGCTACGAAAGTTTGAAACAGTTTTTAGACACAAAGACATGCAAGCACAAAGCTATCATTTGGCGAATTCAACGAAACGTTGTGCTATGGCTTTGCTTGCCCCCCATGGCGTCTGCCACAAGGTCTCTTTTCGAGGCACATTTTGGCTTTGGGAGGTATATATTACATATTACATAATCCATGTGAGCACTAGTTCAAACTTCAGCCAATGCACATCTCCGCAACAGGCTCGTGTCCGCTGGGCCAATCACAACTGTTCGTTTATTAACACCAGAAGAGTTCCGCACGGTGGTTCGACAGTGGTCGCGATTGCAGGGAAGGGGCGTTATGCTGCTACAAAGCATGGACAGCGCAATTTGGACGCAAGAATGATTAAAATTGATATCCTTATAATGTCTTGACGGCAATACAGTGGCACTACCCGGTGTCATTATTAGACGTAACTAATCCTGAGGTTTCACTGGAGTATGTTTTTGACACATGCCCCTAGGTCTCTTTACACACGCCTTGTAAACGAAGCCATCCATCTCCGAGATACTTGTGGCTCTTATCAACGTTTTTTTCCGACCGGTGTGACCTGAGATGAACATCAGTGAAATTTTGCTTCGAACAGGCATTTAGAGGTTAAAGGGGCTGCATAAGGAGGCCTCGGATACCAATCTGGAGTTTGACTTTTTTAGCCCAAAGGTCAACAGGTATTTTGACCTAGTCAATCTCAAAATTTGACGCAAGCGAAATATTGTTAGTAAGATATTTTGAAGGTATGATGATAATCAATGCACGCGACGTTCATGATTCCTCACTGTGTGTTGTATGTCTCAAAGAAGGCAATTTATGTACAATTTGTTCGTGCAAAGTGAGGTACAAATAAGTACCTTCGCCGGACTTCTTCAAGTAATTCATATTTCCTTTTATAAGAAGAGAAATCACCAATGTGAGCATTTTACGCGCGACACGCACCGAACACAATCAGCTAGCGTGAGCAGAATTACTCCAACTAAAGATCACACGGTCTCTTGTCAAAGGTCCCTGAAGCGAGGACAGGCCTGATTATCCCTGACAATCAAATTTGTGCCTGCGCTCTTGAATATTGCGATGCTTGAAAATTTTCAATTAACCAATAAGTTTTTCTCCTGATGTGAGGCCCCCCGTTCTTTGAGCATGAACTTCACATTGAAAGGGGATCTGGATAGTTTAGAACTGTTTGAATGACGCTAGTCCATGCACTAGTGATTATACTAGTACCTAAAGGCCGAAATCGGCCAGTGATTTTTTTTGTAACTTGGAATCCCTCTTCTTTTGAAGCCTGAGTTTTATATTAAAATGTGACCTTAAGAGTTCAGGAGTTTTTGACGGCCGGCGGCTCCCTTGGTGGTGAATATTAATTCTGGTGCTTGAAAAGTTCAATAAGCCGGTGAATTTTTGGTGACATAGTGTTTGACCGTATATTCGATCTTCTAATGACCTTCCCGTTCTTTGATCTTCTGTACGACCTTGAACGTCACATGATGTTTCGAAAAATACGTCATTTTACATATTCGCGTGCAATATTTGAACGTTTGGCGTGTTTTTAGAGAAATTGGAACTCATCGCTGAATTAATCGCTGAAGCCCCTCAAGCCAGAAGATGTGTGGGCTTGCCACGGTGCTCAGTTGACCTGGTTTCATCCACGAGAGGTCAGCTGCACCGGTGTTCTCTTACGCTGATCTGTTGCATTTTTTTACGGCAGCCTCCCGATACTGCTTTCGGCCTGGCTCCAGCATATGTTTCATATATGGCGAGCGAGGATCTGCCGTATGCTCAACGAGGCTGCCGCACGCCCAGTGAGGCTCTGCCGCACGCCCAGCGAAGCTTTGCCACTCGCCCAGCGAAGCTCTGCCACACGCCCAGCGAAGCTCTGCCACACGCCCAGCGAAGCTTTGCCACGCGCCCAGCGGAGCTCTGCCACACGCCCAGCGAGGCCCTGCCGCACGCCCAGCAGGGATTGAGGCGCGATTTTCACAGCTCGTCGAAATACGTCATGCTCACAATAAGGCGTTTATGCTGGATTTGGGCGATGGTAACAACAGGCGATAGGATCATTTCCCAACGATGAACGGATTTCGCTGCTGCTTCGAGTGTGGCGCAGCCGCCATAGCGCTGAATGTCAAAACATTAGAGTAAGTTAGCTGTTCACGCGAAGTGAAGATAATTGACTAAATGCAACTGAACTCTGCTGAGGCCAACTGAGCCAAGCGTCGCGCGTGATGTCGCAACTAAGAGACAAGAATAAAAATCCCATACGGAATCCGTCCATTGAACAAAGCGCATTCATGACAAAGTCAGTACGAACAGCCGCCGCCCGCGGCGGCCACCTAATAAAGAAAAACTATCGCCCGGAGCCTCCTCGGTCATCCTCGTATTCGAAGCAACCGAATAATCTCCATCAGATGACGCTTCTTCGACTGCTGCGTTAACACTACAGACACAACGATGCACATGAGAACTCGGTCGTTATCAAGGATGTCGACATCCTGGAATCGCAGAACAAACGAACCTAATCTACAAAACTGATGCAAATGCAGTCATATAACACATGCAGGGAGTTATGGCCAAAATAGCGCAGGCACGCCCTTGCACGCCCTGTGGAATCCCTCCAAATGCCTACAGACGCGGGTATCGCCACAGCCCATTCGCAGGCGGAATGTCCACCCTCGAATCACACCACCGAACGGAGCTCGCAAAGCTGGCTTCAATCTGCGAGCCGAGGCCTTCCCATCCCCCCCCCCCCCCCCCCGCCGCCCGTGACGCCGCCAGTCCCGCGGCTCCTACTCCAGATCGGCTCTGACGGGCATAGTGGGCTGGCGGCGTAGAGTGACGGGCGTGCCGTCGCCGACCGGGTCATGCCCGGCAGCCGGAGCGCGGTCGCGGTCGTACTGCTCCAGGTTGTCGCGCACCGCCACCAAGTAGTTGTACATGGCCTCGCTGCGGGCCTGCGGGCACGGAGGCGTCGGTCAGCGGCGCCAGCGTCCACCCGCCAGCGGCCGGCCATCCAACCCTCGCAGCTCCTGCAGTCGTGAATACAACACCGGTCAAGTGATGTAGTAAACCGCCAGCGTCCACACGCCAGCGGCCGGCCATCCGACCCTCGCAGCTCCTGCAGTCGTGAATACAACACCGGTCACGTGACGTAGTAGACCACCAGCGGGGCACACGCCAGCCCGCAGCACCAGAGCAGCCGACTGGAACCACGCAGCGCACGGTCTCCCAAATCAGCCGTTCCCTGCTCGCCCAGCGGCCGTTCCAGCGCTGCCGCGCGGGCCGCTGGCTGGGGCGCCCCCGGCCCCGACGCCGCCGTCGCCCAGGCCGCCCGGCCGCGCTCACCTCGACCATCCAGCGGCCGCGCTGGCCGCCGGGCCCCGGCGACGGCTCGCGGCGCCTCTTCACCGGCACCTTCAACTGCTGGCCGCGGCGCTTCTCGTCGGCGCGCCAGTCGCGATGCGGGCACCGGCACACCTTGACCTCTATGGCCTGGCGGCCCAGCGCGACGCCCGAGCTGCGAGGACAGCGGTCCGGTGAGCGCCGGCACGCAGTACGACGGCCACGCGCGGACGGTGGGTCACCGGTTCACGCCGAATACGCTCAGGCACCAGTCGCTACTGACGCGAAAAACGTGGGGTGGAACGATTGCTTCGGGCGAGTCAGAAACGCGTGGCCGACAACGGGCGCAGTGAATGGAGCTGCGCTATCGCCGCCAGGGAGAGGAACACAGAGGATCACCTACACCATACAGACATTTATCTCGACAGAAGACGAGACCATAACACAAGGACCACTTCGCTGTCCAGAAAACAGTGCAAACGTCACGAGCCTTTTTGCCACCATTCTCCAGCTTCGACGCGAAACTTTACTGCATTACGCCATCAGTTCCACTCCCCCTCCTATCTCGCAACATGGCCGCACAGAGCACATGAGCGCATAACTCCTGCAGTGCTTTGCTGAGGGTTGGCTCACGAATCCAGGACTGAGGTGCACAACAAAACCGGACACAGACATGGCCGGCCCCGTGTTCCTTGCAGACACGGGGCCGCCACGCCGCCAATGCCTGTCCCACTCACTCGATCTCCTCCAGCGTAAACACCACCATCAGTCGGCGGCGGTTGATGCCACCGACGCACGTGTTCATACAGGTGAACTTGAAGAGCACCTGGTAGTCGGCGGTGCCCGGCGCCGGGCGCTCGAGCGGCACAGTCACGCTGCGTCGCTCCTGGTTCTCCTCGTAGCTGGCAATCACACCGGGGGCCGGGTCAGTGAGCCCCACCCAGGGGCGCTGAGCGCTAGCGCACCCCCCCCCCCCCCCCCCCCCACCCCAGCCACCGGTCAGCGCGCCGAACGCGTGGCGTCGGGCCGCCTACTGCGCGCTGACGTGCTGGCGACGTGACGTGGTGCGGTTGACAGTTGGAGGTCAGTCACCGGCCACCGCGACTCCAAACGATGCGATGCAGATTGTCTACCGAACACTGTGCCGCGTCACTTTGGCAGAACGAGGCATGCGGCTTGCAACTGGGCCACGCTATATGTAGGTCGTATGGCTGGCAAACCAACCCTAAAAAAGACAGACAATGACACGAAGAGCCACACCGTAATGCTGAACTACGCACCACGCTTGGCACAACTCCAGGGTATCTAACACCGGTGGAAAACACATCCAACCAGGCCTGCAACTGACCAAAATGGTGGGTAGGCCACTGACGCCACGCAGCTAGAAAGCTAACCCCACGTGAGTGCTCTGTGGTGTCACCCACCTGGCTTGCGGGTGCTCGGACCAGAGCACGTGCAGCAGATTTGCCTCGCCGGTGTTGAAGGCGTGCTCGGCGTCACGGTGGATGGCGCACCGACGCACCGGCGTCTGCGCGTGGTGCGGCTCTCTGTAGACGGGCGTGGCGCGGATAGCCAGCGCGCGCGGCTCGACGCCGGCCGCCGTCCGGAACGCCACCGGCACGGCCACCATCACGTCCGTGTACAGCTTGGCCGCGGCTTCGCTGTACACGTACGGCAGCTGGCGCCCGGCGGCCGCCGACGGCGGCGTCTTCACCGTCACGCCGAAGTTGTACGTGCCGGGCCAGCTCTCCAGCGCGGGGACGGCGCCGGGGGCGGCGCGAGCCGGCGGCTGCTCCGTCGGGGCCGCAGTCGGCGCGAGCTCGGCGCCTTCCTGGGCGTCCGGAGAGGCCGGCGGTGGCGACTGTCGACGTGGAGCCCGTCAGTTCCACAGCGGTCACGCACGTCCGCCCATACCAACAGTTGGCATGCTGGTGTGACTTCGATCAGATGCACGGTAAGGTTACCAAACTCTCATAAGAAATCTGGATGTACATCAGACATCAAACTTCAATTGACATGGATGTGAAGTGTGAGAAGACCTTGCACCATGACTCAGCACCTGATCACCTGAGAGACAATGAGCACCAGCACCATTGAGCACCTTTCAACCCAGGTGTGAATCCAATTGATAAGAGGCGTGTGAAATGCCTGCTAAATCTCCAATATGTTTTACCCTGCCCCCTGTAAAAAGCTATTGATCAGCTGCATTGCCAACCATTAGCTCATTTGTAATAAAAAAGCTTTGATGAAATTGAGCACCTTACAAGTTATGCTTGTGTGTGTGTGTGTGATTGGGGCTTTACGACACACTCAGCTGCTGAGGCTACATGGCGTCACCTGCCTCTCACCCTGGCAGGAGGGGCGGGCACCGCGGGGAATCGAACCCCGTACCTCTGGTTTCCCAGATGCGCATTGGTTAACGCAGACGCGCTAACCACTACACTACCGGCACCCCACAAGTTATGCTTCATTTCAATCAAAACAATTCTGCAGAGTTTTCTGGTGACCCTTTGCACATTTTCCACTTCCAGCTAGTGTCATGTGTTGCAATTTATCTACAACTTGTCGAGTCAAACATAATAAATAGTGGAGGAAGGGGCTGCACACAGCTCTGGTACTGTCACTGTGGTGACAGTGTACTGTGGCACTACTGGAATTTGCTCATTCCTGTACATTAACATTGAGGTCAAAATAGTATAGACATATTGTGACTATTACAGAAGAGAGCTGACAAAATAAATATAAAGAATTGGAAAACAATAGGTAAATTGCTCCAATCTGTATGCCATACACATGTCAGTCCAATTATGTATCACTTTAAAAGACAAATGGCCAGCATTACAAGAATCATCTCACCTGATGCTCTGTTCCATGCAACTGGTAATCTTCCATGGGATTTACCAGTGGACTGACAAACTCTTGCCAGTCCTTAGAGTCATTTGGGTTCAGCATGGGAAGCATACTTCTTACTGCTTCAGGAAAATCATGGTCTTCAGACATGGACCATAGCAAGAGGTCTGGGTCTGGCTCACTTGATGACATGTTGGCTGGAAACACATATAGACTCCTTTTAATATTTATATTCCAGGTGAGATATGCCCTATGCAGAGCCAACATTCTCAGGATGGAATGATCACAACCTCGCAGAGAGCTTATACTTGCCCGTGTTTTCATGAGCTTAACTTTTCATTCAAAAGAGGAAGCAATTATGGGATGCTGAGCTCACCAATATAGATGGCACAAACAAACATAAAGACTGAAACATTGTCATGGTCTGTGGCAATAAGCAGGGCTTGGTGAGGACACACAACATACTTCAAATTGTCAGATTATGCCAAGTTTGATCACAAAACAATAAGAAGTGCCCCTTTTAAGTATATAGCCATCACTTCACCCTGCTACATCAGACAATGAGAGCCCTATTAGTTCTAGTGAGACATGGCCATTGCTTCATTTGTTTTGCATAACACTGTGACTATACAACTAACTCAACCTAACCTAACCTAATCTAACCTTACCTAACCTAACCTAACCTAACCTAACCTAACCTAACCTAACCTAACCTAACCTAACCTAACCTAACCTAACCTAACCTAACCTAACCTAACCTAACCTAACCTAACCTAACCTAACCTAACCTAACCTAACCTAACCTGACCTAACCTAACCAAGAATAGACCAGAACCTAAGCTAAGCTAGACTAAGCTAGGCTAAGCTAAGCTAAGCTAAGCTAACCTAACCAAACCTAACTGAGAATAGACCAGAACCTAAGCTAAGCTAAGCTAAGCTAAGCTAAGCTAAGCTAAGCTAACCTAAGCTAACCTAACCTAACCTAACCTAACCTAACCTCCCCACCCTATATCCCCTTCAACCCAGCATCCCATTGGCATCCATGTCCCATGCCATATATAGGTACTGTATAGTGAGCTTTTATTTAGCCACCATGTTCTCATTTTGCTTTACATTCCCCACCCAATCCCCATACATTTTTATGGCTCTTGATGCTGCTCAACGCGCAGTAATGTTGTGACTGCGCACAGTGATGGCACCGGTGTTGCGGCTGCTGTGTGAGTGTGGCGCTCAGGAGCTCGCCACCATAATTATAAAACATTTGAAGCTAAGAGCATGAATCTACCTGTTTTGTGATTATTTACCATATGTCCTGCCTTAAACACAACAAATGGTGTACAATTATTTTTTCTTATGTTAGGTAGGAAAGCATACCCTGACCTAGACTTTCTTTACCACTGAGCTTGAGGGCACAAAAGCTGATGACATGCTTAACAAAACCAGGATAGACAGCTATCTAAGATATTTCGCATCCTCATCAGATACATTGACACAACTGACAATTATGGCCAACATAAGTATCATCACATACATTGATACAACTGACAATTATGGCCAATGTACGTAAAGCATCACACATTATGGTTAGCTGTCGAAGAGTAATAGTATTCCTTTTTTCCTACATCAGGGTGGAGAATGACACCCTCTCATTGCATTTTAGACATCTTACACTGTTTTTATCAACATTTTCCTGAGAGTATCATTAACTGTCATTCGGAAAACGCAATGATGTACCTCTAACGTGCCTTGCCTTGTTGATAACCCACCGGTCTCCAGCCACCCACGCTAAAACCGCAAAGTTAGATAGCCTTGCCACCAAGATAGACACATCAGGATCGTAACACGAGCGCCAAATTAGCCCCGATAGTTTCATCATACTTCGCAACGTTCTTCATGACCAAATCGAAGTCCATTCCTTACTTCGAGTAAGCCCAGTCGATGGATGACGTTGCTACCAACTTACCTATGACGTCACGGCCCAAACCCATTCCTTGGTTGTCCGAGAGGCGAAGTAAGTGCGGTAGCTCGTGGTTATTTACATAGCAACGCATAGCGACGCCCAAGACGCGCCTGCGGGTGGGGTGTGGTGGGTGCGGAGGTTTTCCTCTAGCCCCATAGATGTGCCATTTATAAGTTACGCTTTTTCATAGGGTAATTAACTACTATCGGTTGAAAAATGCATTAGTCAGACTTGTTTGCTTTCCCTTAATGATAGTTCGTCAGGGCTTGCAGGTTAAGGCACACCTGGCTTAGGGACAGTAGGTATGCTGATGTGTCAGCCATCACTACCTGCTTAGTGATTCGATCTTAGCTGCGCATTGCTATGCATTGCTACTTAACTTCTTGGCCTATGTGCTACTGTATCATATCAGTTAAGTACTCCTGTAATGCAAGCAGATTTGTTTCATAGGCCTGATTGATTATTTTGAATTACTGGACTGCACAGGCATGGGTTGGTAGAGGTGAACCAAACAGACTTGTGGTTTTGTGGCTGGTAAGCATGATTGTTATGCAGCATGAAAATTATATTATTGATCTGATTGCACTTATTTTCTGGGTCACTTCTTCACTAACCTGTACCTTTACTGCATGCCTGACAGATTATGAACAACATGGGGAAGTTAGAGTTTGGAACCCCTATGTTGAACAGTATATCATGGTGGCATTACCTAAAATTTCTGTTAGCAGATTAAGCACTGGTATATATTTCAGTATACCTTATTAATAGATAACAGAGATGTGAGGGTGATTCCACTGATTAATTGCTGGTGGTATTAAAGCATGTGTAAGTACAAGACAGGAACATAAAATTGTCATAGTTGAATATTTTTCTTGATGATAAAGGTTGTATGCATAATTTTGAGCAATTTGTTCTGTACACATGAAGCTATGGCCTGTCCTTATCTTAGTTGCATTGAATCTTCTTAATGTGGCCATTATACAATGATACATGCATACTTTGCCAAAGAAACATTTCCTACTGCCATGGTTTTGTCTGCTGTGTTTGACAAGGTGGGTGAGTTGTAAAAAAACTGATACATGTCATAGGTGTCATCATGTTGTATTTAAGTATTGTTTGCATTAAGTTTTACCCCCATGGTATAACCTAAATGGTCAATTATGGAAGGCAGTGAACATTGAATTCTTAAAATGTTATGTGCCAAATGTGAACACCTGTGGATGAAATTTGACATGCACTAGGCAATCAAGCAATGGAATTGCCATACTGTTGCCCAAAGTAGTCCCAGTAACTGGGTGTACATCAATTGTTGTGTTTCTAGATGTGACAGTCTCCAAGCTTTTCAGTCTTTGTTCCTTCCAAGGACACCTCCTGCTGCTCCTTAACTGTCTGTTTCCCAAAGTGTGTTTGTGTTGACTTGAATGTAATGAATTGACTGTTATTTCTGATCTGCTTTTATTGTTCCCAATCTTCGCATTACAACATTTAACTGGAGCAAGCGGCATGCATCATCTTTGCCATGAGGTGGTCAGCCATGTGCTGTCGCTTTGTGATGCCCATGCACTGCACTTGCAGGTTCTGTATGCTAGAAAGTAACAGCACACCCATGTCAACCTGTTCCACAGGATCTGCCTCATGGAGCTCTGCAGGCACCAAGTCATCCCCTGCCCCATGCTCATGATGCACAGTGCAATGATTGATGCATGGTGCAATGATCAATGCAGTGATGACCTCAGCCACATTACCCATGTTGTTCACTTCTACATGTTTTAGTTGCTGCAGTCTGTTTTTCAGCATGCTGAAAGCATGTTCAATTTTGACACATGTTTTTTGTATGGTCTGTTTAAGTGACACTGAGTGGGGCTGAGGTGATCGTTGTCTTGGGAGGGGGTGATGATCTCCAGGGAAAGGGGAAGCTCCTGTCCTCGACGAGGTGCGCGTTAGATGGGAGAAGCTGCCGCCGATGCTTCCCTGAGGTCGCAGCAGAGGGGGGCCTTCTCTGAAAAAGCACGAGAATGGCGGGCGGATCGCGGAACCCTGGGAAGTACACCAGTGCGTGCGCCGCGGTGATCACAAGCAGCCAGTAGATGTACTGTTTTGGTGATGCTTTGAGTATTATGAGCAGCTGCTATCTCCTTGCTGGGTGCATCCATGAAGATGAAGAACCCGTCGATGGCTGCAACCACACCCGGGGAGCGCACGCTGCAAAGCCTGCGATGGTTCCATGTGGCCGCGCTCCTATTGGCCACGCGATGGCGTCATCGTGCGCGGTAGCAACATATTTGCAAAATGTTAGATACCAGTGTGACCCAGATCTTGAACTTCCGAACTTGTCGCCAACGTCGTGTTGGGGTACTGGCTCGGCAAGATATTGCAGCGCAGGTATCACACCTTCAACGGACGCTTCTGGTTGCCCCCGCGCTGGCCATGATTGTCATAATAAGGAGCCAGCTTTAGATTGTGAGAGAGAAAAATGTGCGCGGATACGAGACTGCGATTTGAAATCCTCGTTATCATGTCCTGGAACCACGTCATGTACATAATTTTCTGTTTTGTTTTTGCGCGACGTTGGTGCTTTGGCAGGGCCAGAACCGCTAGGTCGGCGAGCGCACCAATGTGTTAGTCACTTTCTGGATCCTGTAACATAGTTTGTCTGGACAGCATGATTGTGGGAAAGTTTACCTTTGTCTTGAATGTTTTGGAGTGTGAATATACTGCATAACCTGACGTCACATGTTTCCATGGATGTTGTCCGTCTGTGTATATATAGAACTCTCCTTCATGCGACTTGTAACATGAGTTTTCTCCCTGCACACGTGTTCCGAGCAAAGCTGTGTCCCTGCTCGCAGCAACATGCGCAAAACTCGACCATGCGTAACAAAATATATGGACGACCTCAGTATCGATGCGCGACGCTCGCGCAACGCTTAAAGTAATGTCGCGTCTGTCGGAGTCGAGGGCGATGATCTGCCTTTCTCTGGCTATAATATTCTCGTTAATGTAAAGTCGTCATGGTATAGGCAGCTGTTGTGAGAGATACACGTGAAGTGTCTGTATTTAACTGTCCTGACCCGTCAATATCATCTCTGCTGCGAGTCAAATGTGTTTGTTGGAAAACAGCTGATTTCACTATCCGCCATGTTTAGGAGTTACTTGAAGCGTTCTCCATGGCGCAGATGGCGTAGCTGTGCAACGTCATAGGTTGCTACCTGAAAAGGCGGGGCATCCGGCAGCATTTCCCCAGCAAGAACGGGCCCTGGCAGCGGGGTGTCAATTGTCATCTTAGGGGTGTCGATTTCCACTTTAGACGCGGCACTCGCTCACGCCTATCAGCGGGACGGATTAAATTGATAGGTATATAAAACGGTACCTTAGACATGAATTCCAGAAACATTTATTGAGAAAATCGCGTTATTTATGCACATTTGCCTTTTTGTCACATCATGCGTTTTGCTGAGTTCCGGCATAATTTTTTCAGATGAGTAGTGGCTCGTTTTAAAGCCATTCTTTGCGTCTTAGACAACTCAACCTGAATTAAATTCTGCTAAACATGCTGTTATGGTACCAGAATGATGCGTAGCATACAGTAAACACCGTTTGGATAACGTTTTGGTCCTAACTTTACTATAAATTAGGGGATGTATCTATTTTTCTTTTGTTGCTGTTGCATTAAGTGCCACCCAAACCTCCACCCTAGGTTTTTCGGCTATTTTACCGTCGTACGTAACTAACTACCAATCAAAAGAACCACTAGATTGTTTTCTACCAGGTGTTAAAGTACTAAGTTGTTCTTTGCAGCTTCTTGGACAACAAGTTCACTTTAGTGTCGGAATGTCAAAAGGATATGAATTGGGGATGCCGGTTCCGTGGCAAAATTTGATTTAGCAGCACTGGAAGCGAGCGGGACAAACGCCGGCGCCGCTATACAAATATCCTGTTCGTGTGTAACGGTGGATGGGTGGGGGCAGCTGCGTTAGATGTATGCGCGGGGTACACTGGTGAAACAATCGCCAAAATGTCCGCCATCTACGTTGCCGTCGGAAAACTTTCTGAAGTCTTGTGATAGGAAATGTGCGTTATCTACGTGAATAATTCGCTCAGAGAACGCTTTCAGGCCGCTTGTACATGATCGGACCACTCCCTCCCCCCTCCCGATCCCAAAGACCATGGTGCACTATGCACACCCATGAATCAAGATGGGATGAGGACTGAGTAAAGTTCAGGCTGTGAGCCGTGTATGTGGAGGCCATTTTTCAGCTGGGCTCAATACGGCAGTAGCTGGGTAGCTTGCTATGCAGAGGCTATGCTCCCCTAACCTAGTGATGTTTGGGTTTATGGGTACCTCAACCATTATTATTGGTTATTTAATAAGTGATAATTGGCTAAAAATAAGCATTGGCCATTTTGTGATCCAGCTATGCTCTTGCATAACATGTGTGTTTTCTGCCGAACGTGTGCGCTTATTGTCAGCTTTATTCCACTCGTGCGCGTTTGCTTGCCAAGCTTGTCCGTCCCCTCTCAGATGTTGCTACTTGGATCTCTTGGCTTGTGGGCGGCTGCTGGCAGCGGTAGACTGACTGACTTACCAAATGTGGCCAGCAGTGGCATCCACATTGCACTTGTACATAACCGTCATGCGGCACTGCATGGGTCATTAAGACCTTCCAGCTTGTTCGTCTGTGTCTCGTGCAGCCCTTGGGAGCGCTGCCGTTGTATTCAGCTAAAGATACCTGACGTGTTGTCCGATACGATCGTCAGATTTGAATGGATAGATCTTTCTCTCTCTCCTGTGCTTGGGCCGCTTTGCGCTAAAGTAGGGGTTCTTTCTACAGAAAGCAGATGCAATCCGTCGTGGCGACCTCCACGTGGTGGATTGCGGGCAACTCTGACAGCCACACAAAGCTCTTGATAATTGCTTTTTACAGAGCAGAACTGAAATATTCAGATATTCATGGTTGGGACCTATATACATAACCAGACAGTGATGTGTTTATTATCTAGTTCTGGAGTTAGATATTGCATGAACATGCATCTAAATCTTCGTTTGAAGAAGAGATGTGTGCAGAGAATACCGATTATTTAGATCTGTCGAATTTAAGTAAAACTTTTTTCTTCGAAGAAAGGACGTCATATTGACGTCACATAAAGGGCAACGGTTTCAGGACATCATTTATGTAAATGAAGTATCTTAAAAACTTCTTCAGAGCTGGTCAGCAGGATTCCGTCAGTCTCTTTCAGCCGAAGAATATGATGCGACGTTTAATATTGCGCCGGTGTTTAGGTTGCGGTCTGGAAAGGAAAAGGATCCAGGATTAGTGACAAATGCGTTTCAGGAAGGACGCCTCTGATGCTTATTGAAAACCGGACATATACATATATATATATATATATATATATATATATATATATATATATATATATATATATATGTATATATATATATATGTATATGTCCGGTTTTCAATAATATATATATACATATATATATATATATATATATATATATATATATATATATATATATATATATATATATATATGCATATGGACGTTGCGGTGTGTCCTTTGCACATGTGTTTCAACTGTGATGCTGCTAGTTTTATGAAACGCATTTTGACGTCAGGTTTCGACATCCCTTGATTTTTTTTTTTTTGCTTCTGCTTACCTTACCAAAAATAATTTTGGAACACAGTCCTGCACTCCAAGAGCTTCACCACTCTGCACAGGGTAATGGTAGGGCTGTACGAGAAGGTAAGCATGAGCTTTTCGACCAGCTTATTTCAAGGGTGAAGCTCACAGATTGGCCATGCATCCATGTGAAGGAGCTTCAAGAGCTGGCCAGCAAGGTAGGAGTGGGGAATAGCTCCTACGCCATGAGCTAATTCAGTTCCTACTGGCTACAGTGGGTGGTTTTCTTGCTGCGCGGTGGGAATTCACCCTGTATCAGCTAGACAAGACAGCAGATGGGCTGGTGCCACTCCTGCAAACTAGCTGCATAACTGCCCCAGCTGAGTAGCACCAGCCACAGCAGCACCAGCTGCAGCAGCAGCCTCACTGCATGCCATCCACCACAAGAGGCCAGCGGAGCAGCCTAAACGGCAGCTACAGCAGAGCGTCTGCTTACCATCCTTCAGCAGAGGTCGGCATGTTTCCCAAAGGTCTGTAGCCATCAGGGGCGGATCCAGACGGGGGACATGGGCCGTGCCCCCCCCCCCCCCCACTCCTTGGGTCCTGAAGGGGCCCCTTGGCTCCAGGGAGCCCCATAGCCGGGCGAAAAGGTGGAGTTTTCTAACATAAAACGCAACGAAACTGGGTATCTCTGCACATCTAGGCGACCAAAAACAGTTGTGAGCAAAAGCGAAGGGCGTATCAAAAGTAAAAAAAAAAAACAACAAATTATTCACTAGTTGGAAAAACTATAAATTGGACATTTTAGGCCCCATTACACCATTTAGGGGTCCCATGCTGTTTCTGGGGGACCTATATGCCCACTTGCAGGATTATTTCCATCGTTACAGGGCATTCCACGATGTCCTTCATTCCCTTGCATTTGCTCGGAGGACCCTGCGCTGTTGTTGGGGCCATTCCTGTTAGTGTGCCGGGGCACTATTGTCAACCTCGGGCCCTTCCATGGATTCTTTCCATTCGCCAGAAAAGCTTTGTGAGCTATAGCCGGGGTCTCGTATCTTAACCTGTTGGGATATTCTCGGCTGCTCAGAGGCCCTTTACGTGGGTCTCGGTTAACCTACCGACACTTTTGCGATGTGCCCATGGACCCTCTACATTAGTCTAGGGCGTTTCCAATTCTCTGTCACTTGCCTAGGGCCCTAAACGTTTGTCGGGGGCCCATGCGATGGCCTACTTGGGCACACTCAGTCATTTGGGGATCCTCCACAATGGGTGTTGGGTACTTTTTCTGAATGGGGGGCCCTATGCTCTTGTGGGGAGGTCTATCTGATAACCTGCTCGGGCACATTCAATCGCTCGGGGGGCCTTCTACATTGGGCTTTGGGCACGTACTTTTTGAAAGGGGCCCTATGCACTTGCCGGCCCCCCCCCCCCCCTGTTTGCTTCCTCGACCACACTGGATTGCTCGGGGGCCCTGCACATTGGTTCTTGATATTTGAACTTTGGGTCCTCTGCTCCTGTCGGGGTCATTGGATAACCTGTTCGGGTACACTCGATCTTTTGGGGGCCCTCTGCACTGGGTTTTGGGTATATCTTATCTGAATGGAGGGCCTTACGTTCCTGTCGGGGCCCCTTATGATAAGATGCTCGGGCCCATTCGATCGTGGGGCCTTTACATCTGGTTTTGGGTACTTTCTTTTTCAATGGAGGGCTCTTCGCTCTTTTCGGGGGCCCTATCGGTTAGCCTGCTCTGGCGCACTCACTTCTTCGGGGCCCTCTACATCGTGTCGTGGGTATGCCATATTTGAACGGAAGGCCCTACGCTGTTGCCTGGG